ACCTATCACAAGTCCATCCAAATAAAATATTAAGCCAAGAAACTTCCACTCTTTTAAAAACTAAAAAAAAACAGCACATGTAATAGACTATGAGGCATAAGGTTTAACTTCTATGGTAGCTTAGAAGCAGATACGGCGCGAGATTGATGGACCTTCGGCTATCCATTTTGAGTTTCTTTTGCCGTATCAAACGAATGAAAATTACTTTGTCAAAGACCACTCAGAGATGCATCTTGTTGTTGGATGCATTGTAAGACGGTGGCTCTGATCCTTCCTTATTGAAGAAGTTATAGAAGTTTTCTATACAAAGATAGCTCCTGCGACTCGTCGATAATTGCTCTACAATCTCGAATTCAACCTGAGAAAGTAAAGCGTTATTTTATCATGAAAACATTTTTTCATCAACAATCAACATTTGTGCGGTTTTTGGGAGAGCCTGAACTCTGCTTTTCAGGTTGAGTCCAATCTATTTTTGACAGAAAAAATAACGTGCACAGCTTTTTCTAAATTTGAAAACAGCATTTCAAGCTACATTTAAAAGTATTGACTTCATTTGAAATTGTCACTTCGAGCAAGTATCCTTCCTTTGTTAGTCTTGTTAACTATTAACCCACTGACAATCGCTCATCATTTAGGCGTGTGGCGCATGGGATAAATTTGTCTGATCATTGACTATTTTTGTACCAGTTTTGTTTGAGGGTAAATCATCTGTTCATCTGTTAGGGACATTGGAAATTCTAAGTTTCACGAGCGATAGGAAATGTGTGACGCAGTCGTAAGTCATACGGTTCCACGCATCCCAAAATGTATAACACGAAGTCGCGCATTCGCCATTGGGTCAATTGCTTTCCATTGACAAATTCCTGCCACCTTATCATCGTAAAAGATCACCCGCGAAATTAAGTATTTCTTTTTCGTCATTGCGTTTTCGCTTCTCTACGTCATATTATAAATTCAAAGTTTATATATGTATGCAAACTTTTTATTTTTGTGTTAGATGAGGCAAGCTGGAAGTGCTCAAAGTAATTTTTCTGTAGTAAATGAGTGCCCATAAAAGTGAGAAGAGATCATATCTATTTATTTTCTCGGCTCAAGATAAAACGAACTTCTTCCTATCGGGGCAACGAAAGAATAACGTTTATGATGGCCTCCAGCTCCCCTACGACGACAGCGAAACAAAGAATCAAAACGAATATTTTTGACAAGATTTACCATTTGTAGTTTAAAGTTCTACAATCGTATCGTAGTTATTGAAACCTTGTACATCTTACTAAAATCCAGAATTCTTCACGC